GAATCCCATTTTACAAATTTAATTGTTGTTACCATTTTCACGGTAAATAGTTTGGCGCCCACCGTGGGGCTAAAAATAATAGTGATTATTTTCTTGTTGTTTTCAGCACACAAACTCAAGTTATCTTTCTCACTTTTTCTTTCCAAGATCTCTTGATTTCAAGTTGAAATGTCCGGCTCGGTAAACGAGGTTAAGAACAGCTACCTTGAATAAAACAGAGAGAAGGACACGACCATCTTATAGGCCGGCGCACTGCCGGATTCAACTCGGACGAAAGGGAAGGTCCTCCAACATAACATCCACATGATTATTGGAGGAACCACCGCTCCCTAAGGACCCACGTTCAAATGAACGAGAACGTCCGCTACAGAAGAAGGACCGATCCCAGAACGCGTACCCGAAGATACCCTCATATTCAGCAAGGAGGACCTCGAGGTTATGACGGAACCGCACAACGACGCGCTAGTAATCTTGTTTCTCTTAAACAACACCAGAATAAAGCGCGTGCTCGTAGATCAAGGCAGCTCGACCAACATAATCAGGTCGGAAGTAGTAGAACAGCTGGGGCTGCTCAATCAGATCGTTCCCATCCCTCGAATTCTCCAAGGCTTAAACATGGTCGGCGAAGTAATGAAAGGAGAGATTACCCTCCCGATCAACACGTCAGGCGCAATCTAGAACACCGAGTTCCAGGTCTTCAACGGCGGCATGAGATACAACGCCTTACTCGGCAGGCCTTGGGTATACAACATGAGGCAGTGCCCTTAACCTTGCACCAGGTGATAAGGTTTCCCACGAGGGATGGCATCACAACCATACACGTAGAACAGCGGGCAGCACAAGAAATCTTCGCGGTCCACCATGAGACGCCTACCCCCGCATGCCCGATTTCGGATGACGAGCAAAACGTACAGGCCCCCAAAGGCGACGAGGAAGACTTCTTTGCACCCCGAAATTTCGTCGCCCCCAAGGAATCTTATGCGACCAAATCTACAGTCGAAGAACAGGAGCAGACTGCTTTGATCGATCACCTCCCGGATCGCAAGGTATACTTGGGAACGGGGCTGACCCCTGAACTCAGAACAGGGTTTATTCAATTTCTCAGTAACAATATCGATTGTTTTGCCTGGTCCCATCTAGATATGACAGGAATCCTACCAGAAATAACCTCCCACAAGCTAAGCATTGATCCCAAATTCAAACCCGTAAAGCAAAAGAGAAGACCACAGTCCGAGGTAAAATATGCCTTCATTAAAGAGGAGGTAGCGAAGCTTCTCAAAATCGGATCCATTAGGGAGGTAAAATATCCCGAATGGCTAGCTAATGTAGTAGTGGTACCAAAAAAGGGGAACAAGCTAAGAATGTGCGTAGCTTACAGAGATTTGAATAAAGCGTGCCCCAAAGATTCCTTCCCGTTGCCTAATATCGATCGTCTGATCGATGCTACCGCCGGCCACGAGACCCTCACTTTTCTCGATGCCTACTCGGGGTATAATCAAATCCAGATGAACCCTGAGGACAAGGAAAAGACCTCATTCATCACTAAATATGGTACATATTGCTATAACGTAATGCCTTCCGAGCTAAAAAATGCAGGAGCAATATACCAGCGCCAAGTTAATAAAATGTTCGAGCATCAAGTAGGAAAATCAATGGAATTATATATTGACGATATGCTAGTCAAATCTCTGCGCGCGGAGGACCATTTAACCCAGTTGCAGGAAACTTTCATCATCCTCAGAAGCTACAACATGAAGCTCAACCCCGAGAAATGTGCCTTCGGAGTAGGTTCGGCCAAATTCCTGGGCTTCATGGCTTCAAACAGGGGGATCGAGATCAACCCCGACAAAATAAAAGCCATCGAGGAGATCACGGTGGTGAACAATGTAAAAGCCATCCAACGACTAATAGGGCGGATAGCGGCCCTGGGCAGATTCATATCAAGATCATCAAACAGAAGACACCATTTCTTCTCGCTACTCAAAAGAAAGAGCAGCTTCGAATGGACTCCAGAGTGCCTACTTGCCCTCGAAGAACTAAAACGGTACCTAACTAGCCCGCCTTTGCTGCAACACCGTGGATGAGATGCTATACCTGTACCTGGCCGTGTCCGAAATAGCAGTAAGCGGCGTACTGGTTCGAGAAGAGCAAGGTACATAATTTCCTGTCTATTATGTGAGCCAAACCTAGGGGGACGCCGAAACCTGGTATCCCCATCTGGAAAAATTGGCTCTCGCGCTGATAAGTGCCTCACGCAAGCTGAAGCCTTACTTTCAGTGTCACCGTATCTACGTTCTGTTAACTTATCACCTCCAGAGCATACTGCATAAACCTGAGTTATCGGGTCGATTGGCCAAATGGGCCATTAAACTCGGAGGGTATGATATCGAGTACCAACCTCAGACGGCCATCATGTCCCGAATCCTAGCGGATTTCATGGCCGATTTCTCACCATCCCTCATGCCCGAGGTAAAGAAAGAACTCTTACTAAAATCAGGCATGTCCTCCGGGGTATGGACCCTGTTCACGGACAGTGTCACAAATATACGAGGATCCGGGCTCGGTATAGTCCTAAAGCCGCCCGTTGGCGGCATAATCAGACAATCCATAAAAATCGCAAAACTAACTAACAATGAAGCCGAGTATGAGGCTACGATTGCATGCTTAGAATTGGCCAAAAGTTTGGGAGCCAACACCGTTGAGGCAAAATGCAATTCTCTCTTAGTGGTAAGCCAAGTGAACGAAAGCTACGAAGCCCGAGAGGATAGAGTGCAGAGGTATTTGGACAAAATCCAAATCATTTTACGCCGCTTCAAAGAATGGACTTTAGTCCATGTACCTCAAGAGCAGAAC